GGACACCAGGCTGGTGCAGCGCCCGGTCGTCGGCTGCGATCAAACCTGGGGCCTCTGAAGCTTAGTGCATGACCCTCTAGTGCGTGAGCGAAAAGCTCCATGCCTGTAGCAGATTGCTCAAGCTGTGGCGGGGCTAGGTGCCCCTGGACGGGGACAGAGCGACACACCCAGCAGCCCTGGGTGACACGAGCACGGGCCGAAGAACAGGTTTTAAACACAGACACAGGGTACTAGCGAGATGCTGCCCCAGGGCTCGATCTTGCACAGTGCTGAGGAATCTGGTGATTGACACTGTGCATTTGAATGGTCATGTGACCTACTGACTATCCTCCTTTTGCCTTTCTTTGAATTTTGCATATTAACCTATCATTTGCCCTGGCTACTTTTCTTTGATTGCTTGAATAAATCCTGCTATACAGCCAGAGATCCCGCTGTCAGGGTCTGCTGTGCAGGAAAGCCAGACTCATACCTTATTCACTGAGTCAGGAACAGAACCAAAGTAGGTCCAACCCACTCCCTAATTTGCACCCACAATTTTGCATATGCAAATTTCGGGGCACCTAAAAACTCTGTCTTGCGTGCACAGGAATAGCACCGACACATCGTCCAAGGGAAGCCTGGGACTGGGGTCCCAGTTCTTAGACTGGTGTAGCCTCTAACATGCTCTAAGCTGTGCCAGGCCATAGGCTGGAGCTGCCAAGGGCAAATAACGGAGCTGTAACCGCCACCAGGCTGAACCGCCTCCTGCACTCCTTGCTGCTAGCCAGAGGGAATATTTATATTCAGAGTAGCTGCCACCCCCATCTTCTACCTGCTATTCACATGGCAACATCATAAGCAACTTTCTGATTAGCGTCAGCCTGAACACTGTCTCGTTTGGAATGATCTGCATATGATTCCTAGCTCGCCCTCCCCCAAGGGGAGTTGTAAGTGGTTGGGTTGGGTTGTGTTCAGTTGTAAGTGGCTTCTCTCAGGAACAAATTCTCAGTCTTGCTTCAAAGCCTAAATTGCTCGTCAGTTAGAGCCAGGTAGATATTTCTCTATGCGATGCAAGCTAAAATATGGACCGAGTTAGTAATAAAGACCTGAGTCCCTCTGTGGATTGGGGATGTTATTACTAACCTGGTCCACCTCTTAGCCTGTGCCCCAGAGGCCTGTCTACACAGCAGCTGGGAGCGTGCCGCCCTGCCCAGCTAGACAGACCCGCGCTAGCTGGGTTTGAGCTAGAGTGCTACAAACAGCAGCATGGACTCAGGCTTGGTCTATACTACACAGTTAGGTCATAGAATCATAGAATATCAGAGTTGGAAGGGACCTCAAGAGGTCATCTAGTCCAACCCCCTGCTCAAAGCAGGACCAATTCCCAGCTAAATCATCCCAGCCAGGGCTTTGTCAAGCCGGGCCTTAAAAACCTCCAAGGAAGGAGACTCCACCACCTCCCTAGGTAACGCATTCCAGTGTTTCACCACCCTCCTAGTGAAATAGTTTTTCCTGATATCCAACCTGGACCTCCCCCACCGCAACTTGA